ATAGTGGTTGGATTTTATAGCACTTAATATAGCGTAGATATTCAAAATTAATTTTTAATTTCAGTTTTCTGAATCTTGAAATATCTTTGTGGCGGGGCCGCACAGTGGTCTGTATTGTAAATTCATTCCCCAATTTATAATTACATACATTTTAAACACTTTTTAAATGAAAGCATTTATTTATTGATACTATTGACAATGCGTATTGGTACGAGAGTGAACTTGGCACCCTGACTTTATCGTATCGTTACCAAACTAGTACCATATTTTCGCAAATTAATTGCAACCATTTGGAACACTGATTAAAAAATGTGCAAAACATTTTCATGCCAGTAGAAATAAAGTTAATAATAAACATTTGCAATTCAGTTTTCAGAATTTTTAAATAAAATTCTTTTATTTACTTTATATTTGTAGAAACATAATATGGGTTATGGAATTATAAGCTAATAAATGTTTAGTATAAATATTTTATTTTTACTTATAGATTTTTTATACAATACGAAATTTCAATAAAAATAGCTAAGATGAATAAAAAAACCCTGTTTGTATTAAAATGTACCTATATTTTTTTTTATCAAATATAGATTTTAGATTCTGAGTGAAACGATGAATGTATTGATTTTACAATGATGTGTGTTTTTTTTTATTTTTTTATTTTTTAATTTTTAATTTTTTAATTTTTTTATTTTTGTGTCTGTGTACACGATAAGTAGTCGAAATAATGCTTCGATTTACGACTTCAGTATCTTGTTCGATTGGAAAGTGAATATCGTTGGTGCGTTGGGGAGGTCAAAATTTAAAATTCCCAATAGTTTTCACAAGCGCCGGGAAAAAACAACATAAAAATTAAGGAAAAACGGGAATTTTTACGCAAAATTGGTTTTCCAAAAAATCGATTTTGGTTATTGGTGTAACTCTAAAACAAATGAACGTATATACATGAAATTTTCACTGGTTGTTTATATTTGCATTTTCTATACACGATAACATTTTCAAAATATTTTGATTTATTTTGAACTGTTTAGGGACATTCTCATTTTCCATTTTTTTTTAGTTTTTTTTCTAAAAATATCAATAAAATTTTATTTATTGGTTGCGAAAGCTTGAAAATTTAATAGAAGGCTCCTAATATGTTGTTTCAAAGGCAGATGAAAAATATTAAAAATCCTTAGTCACAATTTTTTTTATAAGCATTTAAAAATCAAAAATTGACAAAATATGGAAAAATCACGAAAATTAGCAAATTATTTTGAGTTAAGAATTCGTAAAAACTTTCTTTTTAAATCTAAGATTTGAAAATAAAACACAAGATTCCTTATAAGATTATCTACCTTTATCAATAAAAAAATCTCTACCGGACAGTCAAATTAAATTTTTATGAGCGATTGAAATTCAAATTTTTACAACATTGGATTTTCACTCGATTACTCATGTAGCGATTTCCTTATTTTGTTGCAATTCAAAAACGAACAACTGTAGATACATGAAAATTTCACTGAATGTTTAAATTAGCATTTTCTATACACCATACAATTTTGAAAATATTTTGACTCTTTTTGAGCTGTTTACGGATATTATCATTTTTCAATTTTTTTAGTTTTTTTTTCTATAAATATCAATAAAGTTTTATCTGTTGGGCCAAAAAGTGTAAAAATTTAATACAAGGCTCCTGATATATTGTTACAATAGCAGTTGAAAAATATTAAAAATACATAGGCACAGTTTTTTTTTATAACCATTTAAAGATCAAATTTTGACAAAATTTTCAAAATCTCGAAAATTATCAATCATTGTAATTAATAAATTATAAAATGTTCAGTTTTTATAGTTAAGGATTACAAATTCAACACAAAGGTTCTCATAAACAGTTCATACTATAACCAAAAAATCTAAAAATATATGAACACACTTATTTTTTACAGACATTTTAAATTCAATTTTGGACGATATTACATATTAAAAAAACCTAGAATAACTATTTTAGTTATTTTGTTGTGATTGAATAATATTATTCGTGGGTACTTGAAACTTCTAAAGTGTACTATTATATATCTATGATAGTATCACGGTTTTTGTTGATGTATAACGCGTTATAAGTATCTAATGGATATTGTGATATGATTAATTTGGAATTTATTATAGGTACCTATTATAGGTCAATTTTTTGTTTAATACCATAAATATGTATATAATATGTCTGATACATAGACTGACATACCGTCACTGCTCAGAATCGTTTTTCTTATACAATGATATTATATCATTGAATTCAAATTTAATACCATCCATTATACAGTGACCCACTTGTAACCTACTGTACAGCAGAGCGACACCTACTTGCCCACCTTTTTTATTACATTTTTTTTCATTGATTTTTTATCCAACAGAATTTATTTAAGAATTTAATTTAATTTAAATTGTTTGTAAAAAATATACCGAGAGAATACAAATCTCTTTGATGAAAAATTCATAATTTAAAAGATCTATAATTTAAAAAAAAAAATTAATAAAAAATGTTGGATAAACCATATATATTTTATAAGAAATCGTTGTTGAATTGAAATTTAAAAAAAAATGTTTCATAAAAAATCAATAAAAAATATGTAATAAAAAAACAAAATTAATAAATAATCGATTTTTGATAAAAAAATGTTTACATGATAAAAAAATGGAAATTGAATTAAAATCTATACTGGGTGATTCTTTTATCAAACAACACTCATTATTTCAAAAAGTGTAAATTTTTTTGAAGATATTTTTTTTACATAGTTTCAAGTCGCTTATAAAACAAGTTTTTATTAAAAAATTATATTTTAAATTATTTTTTATCCTTATAATTTTTTAAGTTTTTTACTTTTTTGAATGACAACATAGGGTTTTAATTTTATATTCTAAAGTAAAATATTTTTCTTAGTATTTTGATACATGAATATTGAATTTGGGTTGAGTAGTTTATGAGTTATAAGTATTTAAAGTTTAGACGAGCGATGAAGTGGACAAACATCTAGAAAAAAATATGTATATTTTGCAAAATTAACAAAAAAATCCATTTTTGATAAAAAAAATTCGTACTTTTAATCGATTTTTTATTAATTTTTTTTATTGATTTTTCATCGAAACTATTTTTTATTGAATTAAATTCTTAATAAAAAATCGGTTAAAAACGATAAAAAACGTTTTTTTAAAAAAGTATGAATTCTTTTTATCAAAAATTGATTTTTATTTTGTTAATATTGTATAATATACATATTTTTTGTAGATTTTTTATCAAACAGAAATTTTTTATGATTAAATTTTATTAGTTTTTTATTAATATTCTTTAATAAATAAAATTTTTTTAAACTAGATTTTTAAATTATGAATTTTTCACAATACTGGGTGATTCTTTTATCAAACATCACTCATTATTTCAAAAAGTGTAAATTTTTTTGAAAATGTTTTTTTACATAGTTTCAAGTCGCTTATAAAACAACGTTTTTATTAAAAAATTATATTTTTAAATATTTTTTATCCTTATAATTTTTTAAGTTTTTTACTTTTTTGAATGACAACATAGGGTTTATATTCTAAAGTAAAATATTTTTCTTAGTATTTTGATACATGAATATTGAATTTGGGTTGAGTAGTTTATGAGTTATAAGTATTTAAAGTTTAGACGAGCGGTGAAGTGGACAAACATTTCGCGGTGTAACCCCGAACCACTCCACTCCGCTCGTCTAAACTTTAAATACTTATAACTCATAAACTACTCAACCCAAATTCGATTTTCATGAATCAAAATACTAAGAAAAATATTCTGCTTTGGAATATAAAATTAAAACCCTATGTTGTTATTCAAAAAAGTAAAAAACTTAAAAAATTATAAGGATAAAAAATATTTAAAAATATAATTTTTTAATAAAAACGTTGTTTTATAAGCGACTTGAAACTATGTAAAAAAACATTTTCAAAAAAATTTACACTTTTTGAAATAATGAGTGATGTTTGATAAAAGAATCACCCAGTATTGTGAAAAATTCATAATTTAAAAATCTAGTTTAAAAAAATTTTATTTATTAAAGAATATTAATAAAAAACTAATAAAATTTAATCATAAAAAATTTCTGTTTGATAAAAAATCTACAAAAAATATGTAATAAAAAAACACAAAATTAATAAATAATCGATTTTTGATAAAAAAAATTTTACATGATAAAAAAATGGAAATTGAATTAAAATCTATATTGTGAAAAATTCATAATTTAAAAATCTAGTTTAAAAAAATTTTATTTAATAAAGAATATTAATAAAAAACTAATAAAATTTAATCATAAAAAATTTCTGTTTGATAAAAAATCTACAAAAAATATGTATATTATACAATATTAACAAAATAAAAATCAATTTTTGATAAAAAGAATTCATACTTTTTTAAAAAAAACGTTTTTTATCGTTTTTAACCGATTTTTTATTAAGAATTTAATTCAATAAAAATAGTTTCGATGAAAAATCAATAAAAAAAAATTAATAAAAAATCTGTTAAAAAAATCGATTAAAAGTACGAATTTTTTTTATCAAAAATGGATTTTTTTGTTAATTTTGCAAAATATACATATTTTTTTCTAGATTTTTTATGAAACAGAATTTTTTATGATTAATATTTATTAGTTTTTTAAAAAAAGGTTTAGTTTTACTTTTTTAAACTAGATTTTTTAAATTAAGAATTTTTACCATATAGTTTTTAATTCAATTTCCATTTTTTACCAGTTTTATATATTTTACCCAGTGATCAAGACTGCTACTAGGTTAGGTGAATTGTTTATAACTGGGGACATGGAGTTAACACAAATTATCTTTAGCTACAATAAATAATAATATTATATAAACGTGTTAACATTTTAATTAAATACAAATACCAGATAATCACTGGTTCTTTTATTTTGTTTATTTATCATATTATTAAATTTTACTTTTATTAGGTGAAAGTAGGACGAAAACCTGCTGTTGACCCTGATTCCATGTATACAATTATATCACAACATAACATTTTTAATAATGAAGGGTCCTTGTTAAATTCAAAAAATGGTATTTGGGAAAAGTTATCGAAGGAATTTGGTGGAAAGATCGCTCCAAAAAGTTTATATATACATATGTCGAAAGATAGAAATGGCTTACAAACTAAGTTGAAATCATTATTGTTTGGAATCGAGATCAGTGAAAACAAAAAACATCATAATATTAATGTCGAATCAGATTCATCTTTATCAAATAGTTCATTTCAATTAAAATATAATGAAGAATTTAAAATAACAATTCCATATGACACATACAGAAAAATACGACCTGAAACAAAAGTCTATAAAGATGGTGCTAAATATAGAAACTATAGTGTTTTAAAATCACATGAATGGTCTGATGTCATAAATGATGAACTATTAAAAACACACAAACTTCCGTGTAACTTTATATATAAAAGGGTTAAAGTGCATACCGACACAAGCCGAAGTAATCACTTCATTGATTTTAAAGCTCAATGTAAGGATCACTGTTGTGGCAATGACTTGGTTGGATGGAGTGATACAAAACCTAACGAAGGTGAACCTTTACATATCACTGTTTTAACTGTAAACACTAAAGGACAAGAACACCAGCATACAACAAAAAGGCCTTTAAAAGGTATAAAACGAAAAAATGTTGGTCTGGAACTTGAAAATAATTTGGCTTGTAATTGGAGAAGAGATAATGTAAAAGATATGGCATTTGGTAGCTATTCTCCCCCAAATTTATATAGGCTGCCTACTTTAAGAAAATTAAAACAGGAAATGCGAAACGAGAAGTTAGGTATCTCGAAAACATGCCCTATCCAGTCTCTCTCAGAATTTAAACATTCGTCTAGGTATGCAGGATCCATTCATTCGATTGGATTCGATCCTTTTTTTGTGCATTATTGGAGTACTCATCAAATAGCCTTATATAAAGATTTAACTAAAAGTTATTGTAAAATTTCGATAGATGCAACTGGGAGTTTGGTAAAAAAACTTAAAAGAACATCATTAAATTTGCTATCTTCAAATATTTTTTTATATGAAGCTGTTGCCAGTAGTGATTTTGGACACATAGCAGTTACACAGATGATCTCCGAAAATCATGACACTTTGTCTATTTTAAACTGGCTAAAGCAATGGATGAAAAATGGTCTTCGTGCACCTGATGAAGTTGTTTGTGACTATTCAAGAGCTCTCTTGAGTGCAATTACAAGAGCTTTTTGTGGAATAAGTGTAGAATCTTATGTTAATAATTGTTTTCAAATACTTAAAAACATTGACAATACAACTTTAGTTACATATGTTCGATTGGATGTTGCACATATGATAAAAATATTTTGCCGAATTAAATGTTTGACGGGATTAAAGAATAAAAGTCTAAAAGAATTTTATGTTCGAGGTTTTCGATTGCTTATGTATTCGGGTGATTTATCGAACTTTGAGACCCTCCTTGAAGCTCTTTTAACGGTAATGATGAGTGAAACAGATGGTTGGTCCGGTGATAGCATTACAGAATCAGAAAGATCTAGAGAGTATATTTTAAATCTTATTAAAGGTTATACTGATAATTATATTGCTACCGAAGAATACAACGAAGATAATAATGAGAGCGATAATTATGCCGATATTGATACCAGTGATGAAAACACGGAAAATTCAATTTCAAAGTTTTTAAATATGATACAAATAAGAAGCCAAAACAATTCTAATATTCGAGGCAACCGTATATCTGCGTACTATTTGCCAGAGTTAGTCACTCATGTTATAAGAATATGCAAACATTTTCCATTATGGACAAATGTAATGTGTTCCGTTTTCAACACACCATATAATGTAGCATCGTCGGCACCAATTGAAAACGATTTTAAGCAACTTAAAACACAAATTTTAAAATTCGAAGTGAAACCCATGAAGGCAGATAAATTTGTTATTACTCATCTTCAGAGTATTGAAAGTAATGCCAAATTATTTAAAAGTGCGGAACTACGAAATAAAACAAAACAACTACAGATAGATGAACAGTTGAAATCACCAACATCAATTCAAACATCAGAACCAGAAGTTATTGACGCACCAGAAATTGCGTTTATATCACAATTGAAATACACATCAGATTCACCCCACACTCCATTGTCATTTCACACACCAGATTCGTCTCATATACAAGATTTAGACTGCAATGCAAGCTGAAAATCATATTCATCTGAAAATGAAGTCGATTCACTTGCATCAACTGATTCTATGAATTATCAAGAAAATTGGAAGGTAAAAACGAAGAATTATTGAAAAAAAATAAAAAAATTAGATCGACCAAGTACATGAGTGATGCACCAGATATTGATCGTATACTGAATACACGACAATTGCGTTCAAATATGAATACTTGGCTTCAAAATGGAAATTTAACCACACCAATCAAGATTGGAAAAAAAAGGTAAATTTGAAGGATATTTTTATTATTTCTAAAAATCTCTTGTCTTTTGTTTATTATAATATAACATTTATTATATTATGTTATTCGTAGGACCTGACCTAGATTATAATGCCTCTTAAAAATGCCTTTAAAAATGGAAAAATGACTCGAAAAACCCAAAAAATACGTTATAAAAATTACTTTAAATTTATAAAAAAAAAATACAAGTGTATTTTTGTCTTTTCAAATAGTATTCTAAATAAGTATTAGTAGTATTAGTATAAATTCAAAAAAATGTGTATAAATAGATCTCATCGACTTTTACCGAAGATGGTTCAAAAGACGTGTTCAAAAGTAGGTACATAAAACAAATTTGAGACAAAACGAGCATTGCACAGTAATCTTTGGAAAACATTGCAAAGTGGATCGAAATCCTAGCCATAGATTCATTGCTTATTTTAAATCTAATTTTGTTATACTTGTAAAATAAATATAGGTATAGGTATTAATATAATATATGAATGACGTTATTATCCGATCCGTCCACTTCATGAAATTACACAACATGAATGATGTTTTGTGAAATTTATGAAATGTTAACATAATAACTATACACAGTGGAGTTTCTTCCACCATTTAGATATTTGCATAGCGAAACTAAAAACATTATTTAGAAAACAAATACTTGATTCGTTTTTAACGATTCAATTTATTTGACGATCTATCATTATTTTTTTCTAAAAAAATACATTAAACTTTCTTAAAATATTTATCATTGACTACCTACTTAATAACAAAATCCCATGAGCCCGGTGTAGACTATATAAATAATTTCTAATTACAAAACTGTTAAATATATTGTCAGCCTAAATCACACTTTAACTATCATTAATAGGTAGGCTATTTATTTATATATCTTTATGATGGAATTATATTATTTACACGTATACGAAATAGAGCAGCTATTATAAAAATAAATGCAACAAACTGTGTAACCCTACAAACATGCTAATTGCTATAGATGCTATAGATGCTTCAATACTAATATATATATTATATACAAAATAGGTAGGTACCTAACCAATTTTTAAACGGTTTTGAATTTCCTTTTATATCGGTTCACTTGATTTACTATGAAAAAACCATTGATTATATTTAAAACATTCCGAATACGGTACTATATGAATGTAACTATTTTTTCAGGTTTATAGCATATAATACTTGTCCATTTGACTCGATTGTAATGCTTATTTCTATGGCATTCCTCGAACATACAACCTACCAAGAATTTGTTAATGATAGTACAAACGAACTATTAATATTCTGTAAATTACTAGCCACCAAAGGAACAAGTCAGCACCTACAGAGAACGTTTAAAATTACTGTCCACGATTTTCGAAGAGGAGGCAGGTGTCACAAGCATATTTGTCATCGATGCCAAATGTAACGTGCTACACATTGTAACAAAATTATTAAGTGATATACCATCAGCAATTGAAAAAATAAAATGTGAAAAAGGATGCACTTATAATGACTTAGCATCTCCATTTATTATAATTAAACTATCAAATGGAGTGGATTTACTACAGAACGATATTAATAACTATTTAAGTCCACAATATTTTCAATGTACCCAGTGTTGTGATGGCATTGCATCATCATCAAAATATCTGGGACAACATTTATTTATTGATGTTGAGATGTACTATGAAAAAAAAATGATGAGTCTGGAAAAATTACCAGTTGAAATAATGGCCCAAGGAAAAAGGTATGTAAAATTAACAGACTTCTAATTTTGAATAACAACAAATATGATTGGAATTAAACCCTAATACCACAGGTTTTTTACTAAAATCAAAAGATTATAAATATATGAATACAAATATGACAACATAATATAACTTTAATTAATTATGTGACTATATAATGTTAGATTGTATATTTTTTACGAAAAATCATGTTAAAAAAATTGTATTTAACAGTTTATTTTCTTTAAAATATTAACTTATTAATTGAATATTATTTTTTAGATATTTGTTGGTTGGTGCTGTGCATTATGCTTTTGACCATTATATTGCATACATAAGAAAAGTCAATATTTGGGAAGTACATAATGACTTAACAAAAAAAATAAAATAATTAAAAAAGGTGAAATCAAGCCACATGTTTTATTGTATGTTTTGAATGATTAATTTTTTTTATATTTTCCTTAAAATTAATTATTAAATTAAAAAAATATGTTGACATTTTTTTTTATACATAGAAGAAGCAGATTTTTCTTTTATATACCCGAATGTTATGTTTTAATTGTTTTTATATAATATAGAACGAGCAGATATTTTATTCTTTTTATACCAGAAGAAAAAGGTATTTATTAACTTTATATTATGTATTAAAAAGTATTTATATACATGAGCTACAATGTATTTTTTTTTATTTATAATATATTACAATAACATCAATGATATTGCAAAAAAAATAATAATTAAAAGTTAGAGCTCATGTTAAAACATCGACGAATAAATATTGTAACACTCAATCCTAGCAAATATCAAAATAATATATTATTATTATAGGTATTACATTCTTACCTATCACAAGTGTCAGGTTACGTTTTTTTTTCATTCAATTTTAAATAATGGTTTAAAATAAAACTTCGTATTAGATAAGTTGTAGAAATTAAGGAACTCCTATAATATTATAATTAAGTATTATTATCTTAAAAAAAATTGGGATTATTATTTTGTTTTTATTATTATTTTATTATTTTATTTTTTACTAGCCAGCCCCTTCCCCCACACAAACATTTTGATATGGAGTTGCAAATTACCAAAATCGCGTTGCAAATATTTGCAAATAAGTTGCAAAATATTGGCATATGTTTGGAGGGGATCAGGTAAAGTCGGGGGGCCAGCCCCCCCCACACAAAAATATTGATATCTGTTAAAGTATGGAGTTGCAAATTACCAAAATCGCGTTGCAAATAGTTGCAAATAAGTTGCGAAATATTGGCATATGTTTGGAGGGGATCGGATAAAGTCGGGGGGCCAGCCCCCCACACAAAAATATTGATATCTGTTAAAGTATGGAGTTGCAAATTACCAAAATCCGGTTGCAAATAGTTGCAAATAAGTTGCAAAATATTTACATATGTTTGGAGGGGATCGGATAAAGTCGGGGGGCCAGCCCCCCCACACAAAAATATTGATATCTGTTAAAGTATGGAGTTGCAAATTACCAAAATCACGTTGCAAATAGTTGCAAATAAGTTGCAAAATACTGACATATGTTTGGAGGGAATCGGGTAAAGTCGGGGGGCCAGGTGAAGTTGGCCCCCCTAAAAGTAAATCGTTGATTTTGGGGAAAGTATGGAGTTGCAAATTTCCAAAAGCTTGTTGCAAATAGTTGCAAATAAGTTGCAAAATATTGGCATAGGTTTGGTGATGATCGGGTGAAGTCGGGGGGCCAACTTCACATACATCGCCTAACCTACTCGGACACAATTTAAGATGTGAAATACAGTCGAAACATCAACTCTTAAGCCGTGCGTCTACGGAGCGACGTAAGCCGATATATTCGATGTACATCGATGTAATCGCATATAATTCGCTTGTAATACGCGCATCTCCCATATATATATTTAACGGAGCGAGTGAAAAGCGTTTTCCGTTAATAATTATTAAATCAATATGCAAAAATTAAATTATACACGTAAATACATTTATATATACGCATGTATAATTTCTAAACGCGATTGCGAAGCGAACCCACCGATGTCGTAAGAAAAGCGTATATATACGTGTACGTGCCGAGCCGTTGTGCATATCGCTTATCTGTGCAACGGTGACCGTTGTCCACTTTATCTCCCGTGCATCCATACCCCATACATTATGTCTAATTAAAACATTATTATAATTATTAATTACTATTTATTGTCTTTGTTTCCATTTGCTTATATGTCAAATGTCTTTGTAGATTGTTCATGTTATCAGTGTCTTGTTTTTAATCTTTTCGGTATCATATTATGCTTCTTCGCTCTTATATGTTTCTCTTTTTACTGTTCATACGTATCAATTTGTTCTTTGCCACTTCGGCACCCGTATTTTTTGTTCTTTTGTCGTCACCATTGCGGCACGATCATCGATTGAACTTAAACACTATACCGTCGCTGGCTAATATAGCCACACATATTGCTGTTCAATAAATATACACTCCACCAACAATAAGTGAGTTCTTTTTGTCTCTTATTATTATCTGATCCTCACCAACGCGTGTACGAGACATATTATATTGTACGTGTGTCATCACCCCGTCATTCCTGCGAGACCGTCGATTCTTTGTCGATTGCTGATAGTCGTTGCGAGCCGCGTACGCGGTCTTCACGTATTGGTCTCCCAGTCCGCATAAGTCCGCCAGCATCCGGCATGGTGTGTGTGAGGCCGCCCTGGTCTACCAACTTGCTGCCCCGCTGCTGCGTAAGTCCGCCAGCACCCAACTGAGGGTGTGTGAGAGGCCGCCACGGTCGTCCAGTCGCGCCACTCATCGACGAATCTATCCTCCCACTGCACCTGCCTTAATTTTAATTACCCTTAAGTAATAGTTAGTAAGAAATGCCCGATTATATGTGAGCCTCGTCGGTCATTGCACCAGTGGCACCACACCGAACTGACCAAGAGGACAACCCCACCCAATACTTAATAAACTGCTTCCGTCCTGTCATAACTTCCGTCTTACCACCACAGGTTGCCGGTCCTACGTTTCATGCAAAGCAAACGGT